GTGGCCAGCAGGTTGAGGGAAGGGATCCTTCCCCGCTACTCACCGCACCAGTGAGACCATATGTGGAGTGCTGGGTCCAGTTCTGGGCTTTCCAATACAAGGGAGACATGGACATACTGGAGTAAATCCAGCGAAGGGCCACAAAGAAGATTAAGAGACTGGAGCCTCTGTCCTACCAGGAGAGGCTGAGAGAGCTGGGATTTGTTTAGTGTGGACAAGAGAAGGCTTAGGGAGGATCTTATCACTGGGTATGAATGATTGGGGGAAATAGAGAAGACAAAGCCTGACTCTTCTCAGTGGTATCTAGTGAGAGGACCATAGGCGATTGGTACAAACTAAAATACAGAAGATGGCATGTAAACATAGAGCACTGGGCTCGAAGACTGTTGGCCTGACCAGGTAGGGTCTTTTTTCATATTCTTATACCGTCTCATCTGAGTTTCCATTTTATGGCCCATCATGCTCCCTGTTTTCTTAAAATGCCTTGAAATGATTATTAGGAGTTGGCCAGCAGTAGAACTTTCTTTGCACAAACCTCTGAGATCAGTTCACTAAGTGGCTTTAAGGAGGTGGTGGGGAGGCTGTATACGCATACATGTGCAAAGGAGAGGTATGTGAGAGTACATGACTTCTGTTCCATCTTAGCAGGCTTTTATAGCTTCCATTTCAAGATAGACGTGGTCCCTGTGGACATAAGATATGAGAATGTGGGCCAGCACTTAGAGGTGGTGCAGCATATCTACACTTGTGTGGTATAACTCACGAGTCACACTAAATGGAGAGACTAGGATGCTACCTAAATAGAGGCAGCTGTCCCTACCAATGTCCCTTCCCCTACACTGTGCTGACACTAGCAATTACAAAGCTGTGCAGCAAACTTGCTCAGCTGATTGCTTTGACTGAAAATCCTGTCCCTAAAAGTGACTAGCTTCTGTCTGGATCACTAAGTTGTCTCAATTTGTCGCTCAACCACACAACTGCAAGCTCTGACACAAAGGGGGGGGGGCAGGAGCACACAGCCTAAAGTGGAAAGGAAAGGGAAGGCCATGAGTCTTGGCAGCAGTGTACTCTTAAATTAGCTTAAACCAACCATGAAATCACACTCTTCAGTTGTCACTTATAAGTTGTTCACTTATTCAGGGTTGTGTTGACTGTCAGATCTGAGGCTGGCAAGGAATTCTACCCAACACGATGTCAGGATTCCTGCAGATTTCTTGTGGTCTTTCACTGCAGTACGGAGCATTATCAGCACACTAAGGTCGTCTAGAGCCCTTTTCAGGAGATCGTGACATTGGTGCATTTGGCTGTCTCATTCTTAGCTGGCTTCAATCTCTTATACTGAAATGTAGTTATGGTTTTTGAGTTTACGTAAAAAGATACTTGGATGAATGATTTGTGAAATATTGGACATCAGACTGGATGATATGTTGGTGTCTTCTGTCTAAATACAACTGTTCAGATGATAAAATTGTAGTATCTTACAGTTAAGTGGAACAGAATTTTAAAATATTCTCTTCTCTTTGTAGCAGAAAGACATTACGCAAATTCTTTCAACTTTTGTGTGTAGCACTCTGCTAAGTATTTTGATAAGAGTTTGCTTAGGTAAGTTTCTAGGATACTGAAGGTTAATGACAAAGCTTTTCAGCTTTGACAAGGTGTTTTTGCTTCATCTGAAACTGTGTGGACAAAGATGCAAAGGGGGCATGTGGGAAATGTGCCATTGGTTTTTGCTGCCCATCAGACTTCTTCCCCTTCATTATTCATATTCCTGAGGTGCAGAAGAAAAAGGTGTTTTGTTGTGACTTTTTTTTTCCCCCTCCAGAAAAACTGTAGGAAATCTGGGGAGGTTAAAGTTCAAGTATGCCCATCCCTCAGTTCTGCTGTAGTGAAGAGAACTCTGTCAGCAGAGTTCGGCAGGCAACAAAATACACTGCTCCCTTGGCAACTTGGGCAGTTGTGGCAATAGCCCAGGCTTAACTTTTGACTTTGTAGTAGCTGTGAATAATATTGGAAGTCTTGCAGGAAGAATCTTACCTATGAACCATGATGTGGGGGACTTGTATTTCAAACTGAAGTTATGTCAGTGACTTGTATTTCCTATTGAGAAATATAGACCTTAAAATAGTTGGAAACTGAGGGTTGCCGAAAAGCTGGAGCCAAGGTGAACAATTTTTGCCTAACTGCATCCTTACTGCTGCAGTTCTTAGACCTGTCTGCAAGAGTCCCTAGAAGAATGTGTCCCGTAAAATGCCCTGGAGGAGAGGGGGTAATTATGAAGTGATGTTATACTGCCTTCAGTTTTTCAACTTATCTCTGATTTTCCCAGTTCTGTAAATAATTTTAAAATTTTAGAACGTGGAATTGATGACAGTAATATATTTTACATTCCCTGCAGTATGGCACAAGTTTTCTCTCTCTGAAAATAATAAACTGGTTACATAGCTTTTCTGAAACTCGCTTTATATAATGAGATGATACTCAGCTTGTCAGCCGAAAGCAGAATTTAATGACTGTTTATATGACTGTCCTAAAACTTCTTAACTTTACAGCAGGGTTGTTTGGCACTGCTGTAATGAAATCAAATCAAACCAGGATCCCATAGTGCATTCCTTGTAATTAGAAGCATCGCGGGGAAATTTGTTGATGTAGTCTGTCTTGTTGCAGCATGATGTGGTACCTACCAAGGCAGTTCAAAGTTACCAAGGTTTAACTATTTATACTTATATGAAGTCTGTATATGTTCAGAATGTTTTTACTTTAAAAGTTGTTCTGTTTTGTTTTCTTGCAGTTTTCACCATTCCATGCAACCTTATTGGCCTCTTGCTCCTATGATTTTACTGTGAGGTACAGTATGGTTGTTTTTTTTTTAATTGGATAAAAATGGAAAGATAATCTTTTTTAATGTGGCTTGCAATAGAAAACAGTTCTAGAGTGGACATACTGAATGTGCGGTTAATGTTGCCATTGGATGTTTTCTCTTCATAAGCTATGTTGAAAATGCATGGGTTCTTCACTTAAAGGCTAGCTCGGTCACTGTTCTGAATGAGATCTGCTCTGACAGATGCTTTCTGTAATCCTTTCCACATCATTCTGCTGAACGTAGTTGCATCTGACTGTGATAGTGTCTGCTACAAAGGTAATAACCTCTTGAATGAATGTAGGTGGGTGACTTCATGTTTCTGTGATATATTTTTATTTAAGCTTTTTATTGTCCTACCACTATCTGAGGAAGCTTTTAGTATTGTTCCACAGTGTGTCTGCTGAAGTTCTTCAGACAGTACTTCTGCAAGTTCCACTGGCTGCCCAGTATATCTGATACTGCTGAGGATTTTATAGTACAGCTGATTTAAATCTGATTACAAGTCCTGAAGAAGCTTGACTTCATATTAGGACTTCTCTAAGATACACAGTGTCATAAGTAAATACACTATGAAGTACATTGCTGAATATTTCAGTCACATTCTTTGGTCTACATTTTAATTTTATAACATGGACTGAATATAGTAGACAGTACATTTACAAATGGGAGAAGCCCTCTTGCCTCCACAAGAGACTGCAAAGTTATCCCACTCGTCCAAATCATCCCAATTAATGTCACTTCTGGTTGTGTCCTAACTGGTCTGATACCAGACACAGAAAGGTTCTGTTTCCTAAGGGAAACCTTGCTAACTTGCAGTGCCTGTACATGTTTCTAAATCATAAATCTGTATAGTCTTGTGCCATAACATAATATGAAGTTGCATCATGAAGTTAGTGTGTTAAGCATTTTAGGAATTTTGTATATTTTCACAAATGTTACTGGAAGAGTGGTATAGCTGGAATACTCTGTTTTCATCCAAGCTCTTGGTTGCAGCTCCTGGAACAGAGCTAATAGAAACATGGAGGGGTGCAAAGGGGCTCCGAAGCTCTGCTATAGGTGGTGTGGGATTGCTTGAGACATTGTACAGTGACAGTGGTGACGTTCCACAGGGAGACGGTTGCTGGAGCAGTTGTCCTTGGCACATGTGAGTCTTCAATCTCAATAGCACTAGAGAGGATGTTGCCTTCCAGGTCTTAGGCTGCAGGGAGTGCCTGGTGCCTCTTCCTGGGGCTGGGCATGATGGTGGCCTCACCTGTGGGAGATGTGTTCTCTTTGAGGTACTGAGGTGAAGGAGCTGCAGGAGGAGATGAGCAGACTGCGTCCCATCAAGGATAGTGAACGCAAGATTGACAGGGTCTTCACAGATATCCTTCAGAGGTGAGAGCCCAAATCCCACAGTGCAAGGAAGGAGGGACAGTTAGAGACTATGCTTCAAGCAGTAGAGGATAAGGATAAAGATTCCCATGGTAAGGAAGGCTGGAAACTTGTGACTTCTGGCAACACAAGTTGGAGCTAGAGAACGGTTTTAGTGGCCTGGAAATGGGTGAGCAAGAACAAGCTCAGTCTGGGGTGGTGTCAGAGTCAGCTGAGCCTAAATCAAGTGTCTGCACCGAAAGAAAAATGGGCATCATCACTGGAGACTGCCTCCTGTTGCATTCCCTCTTGAAGTATCTGTCTGCCAACCCAACTTGATGTCTTGAAAGGTTTTGTTGCCTCCCTTGGGTTGAGGTCCAGGAGGTTGTGGAGAGACTGCTAGGGTTTGTCCAGATTGAGAACACTGCCTTTTCCCACTTACCTGTATGGGTTCTCATGTTACTGAAAGAGGTGACCATGAATATATCAAGAGTGGCTACATGGCATTGGGGGCCCAGGTGGTGTTTCCCTTGATCTTGACGACGTTCCACAGGGAGACGGTTGCTGGAGCAGTTGTCCTTGGCACATGTGAGTCTTCAATCTCAATAGCACTAGAGAGGATGTTGCCTTCCAGGTCTTAGGCTGCAGGGAGTGCCTGGTGCCTCTTCCTGGGGCTGGGCATGATGGTGGCCTCACCTGTGGGAGATGTGTTCTCTTTGAGGTACTGAGGTGAAGGAGCTGCAGGAGGAGATGAGCAGACTGCGTCCCATCAAGGATAGTGAACGCAAGATTGACAGGGTCTTCACAGATATCCTTCAGAGGTGAGAGCCCAAATCCCACAGTGCAAGGAAGGAGGGACAGTTAGAGACTATGCTTCAAGCAGTAGAGGATAAGGATAAAGATTCCCATGGTAAGGAAGGCTGGAAACTTGTGACTTCTGGCAACACAAGTTGGAGCTAGAGAACGGTTTTAGTGGCCTGGAAATGGGTGAGCAAGAACAAGCTCAGTCTGGGGTGGTGTCAGAGTCAGCTGAGCCTAAATCAAGTGTCTGCACCGAAAGAAAAATGGGCATCATCACTGGAGACTGCCTCCTGTTGCATTCCCTCTTGAAGTATCTGTCTGCCAACCCAACTTGATGTCTTGAAAGGTTTTGTTGCCTCCCTTGGGTTGAGGTCCAGGAGGTTGTGGAGAGACTGCTAGGGTTTGTCCAGATTGAGAACACTGCCTTTTCCCACTTACCTGTATGGGTTCTCATGTTACTGAAAGAGGTGACCATGAATATATCAAGAGTGGCTACATGGCATTGGGGGCCCAGGTGGTGTTTCCCTTGATCTTGACAGTGATGGAGAAACATTCAGGTAGGAAAAGAGCTCTCCAGCAAGTCAACACTTGGCTGCATAGTTGGTGTCACAAGCAGGGCTTTGTCTTTTACAACCACAGGGTCCTCTTTTTAAGTGATTGGGTTACTGCTAGGCAGGCATAAGGTCCATCTGCAAAGTAGGGCAAGAGCATTTTTGCCAACAGTCTTGCTAACCCAGTGAGGAGTGTTTTAAACTACAGATATCAGGGCAGAGTGACCATAACCTGAAGAGAACTGAAAGCATGAGGATCAGAGAAGGGTGTGGGGAATAGTCTAATACCAGAGGCTTTTGCACTTTCCCTGTGAAAGCAGCCTGACACCTATATACATCAGAGGAGACAAATGGGGGATTAGAAGTCCATGTGCAGCAGCAGAGCTGTGGCCTCCTGGGGATTATAGAGAGATGGTGGGACTCCTCACAAGGCTGGAGTGCTGCAATGGATAAAGGCTCCTCAGGAAAGAGAGGCTAGGAAGGCGAGGTGGTGATAATGGTAAATCTGTGAGTTTAGCAGTCCAGTCACTCTCTTAAATTTTCAGTCCCTACGTGGGCTTGTTCCTTTCAAAAATTGTGCCTTTCTCTTATAGATTAGAACTGGATGGCGAGCTTATATAATACTCCTGCCTCCCGTAGGCATGTCATTATTACACTAAAGGACTTCAGTGCTTGAGAACCTTTCCTAAGTTTATGTTAATTGCTATTCTTTTGCTTACTGTAATAAGGGGTAGTGCCTTGCCAGTGATACCGACTGTCGTGTGGTTCATGCCAGGAGCCTGACAGTGTAAGTGCTGTGATGTCCATATGTATATAACTTTCTAGACTGCTGTACCAGCATTCTGTCTTACATAAAGTGCTTAATTTTATTTATGTTTAAAATGCACTTTTCATAGAATACTGCACAGTGGTCTGTGGAAGGTTATTTATGGGATCTTACTTAACATCCTTTACTGATGCAGTGCCAGCTGGTTTGCAGCGTATCATTTCTCAAAAGGCTTCGAGGTCTAAAATAAAAAGTGGTAATTGGTTCCTTCCAGTGCCCTTGTCTGAGCAATAAGACTAATAATCAGCATGCTGATGCATTGAAGTGACTTGATTGTGTCGTCTTGCTCTTCCCATTTTTGACACCAACTATATGTCCTTCAGGTTTGGCACTAACGCGCTTCATGCAGTACTGAAATCTAGTGCAATTTCAGCTCTGACATTTTCATATGTGGAAACTGTCAGTAAAGATGAGGAGAGCTCCTAGCTCCTATACCAGGGTGTCTGTAAATGCAGAGCTTGGGGATCTTTTCACAAAATGCCACTCTAGGCATTATTTTTCTGTCCAAACAATTACTTGTTCTGACTAGGGACAGAGGGCAGGGTTGAAGAGATGAAATACAGATTTTTAGCAGTTTTCTAAAACTTAGTTGCTGGGTTTGGTACGAGTGAACAAACAACAGAGAAGGCTAGGTAAAAGTCTTTGGAAAAGGTGGCACAAGCAAAATATTCTGTATAATGGAGGAAACTTGTTACCATAACACTTCGGGAACATCTCTTCAAGAATAAAATATGATGACTATGTTGTTCCTCTACCGCATATCCTGTACTGTCATTTACAGGAAGGAATGTAGCTCACACTAAGAAGTAGAGTTCACTTAGAAATGTTCAGAGTTTGACTGGATGCACCATACACATGTGTACATGTGGATATGACTATATACATACATTTCAATCTGAGAACAAAAATACTTGATAAATATATAAAAGGTGGAAGAGAAGAAGGGATTCCACTACATGGTATTAATTTTGGATCTTGTTGAATCTACTCAAGGCCTGTGACTTTTTAGCCACATTTGATAGTAATTCATAGAACAGTATGGTATGGCAGTCCTTTAAAAACAGATTCATTGATACAAGCAGTGTTATTTTAATAGCAGCTTAGCTATGGTACTGTTCTTTTATTTTCTTTAACATTTTTGTTTGAAGCTCAGAATTGTCTGTAAGCATTTAGTAGATAACTGGATACAGCATAGCTTACTGTTTAAGCTCTGTAATCTTAAATGCTACTGAAGCTTTATAGTTTAACCAAACAAACACAAATCTTATCTAAGATTACCAAACTGCTATGTAAGGGGCAGGGTTTTTGTTTGTTTCAGGTAGAACGGCTAGTTTGACACATAATCACAACTGGCTATCTAGAAGCAAAAAAATAGTAGGTTGAAAGCAAAGTTAACAATGCTTAGCTTCATCCTTTGCAAATAGTATAATGATTGCACGTGTGCACTATAGTC